GGACGAAGTTGAATGTTAGAGTTGGTGAATTGGAGTGAAAAATGTTTTAAAATAGCTGGGAAAACCTATACAAATAAAGTGGCTAAACATATGCTTTAAGGCATAATGAATATAATAAAATCATTATTTTTAATGTTCAAAACTCATAAGTTTCCAAAACCAAGATGGCACTTTAACTAATCTTAATGCAGATGTTCTCACGTGTGTCTTTCACGTTGGCAAATTCCGATAAGACATTATCTCCAACCAGATATTCGAATGCATGATAGAATTACTTCTATCATGCAGGAGGATGCTCCTCTTATCTACGGAACTTTCCCAAAACCTCCGAGATCTTTCTTCGTTTGGCATGAACCTTTCCTATTTTGATCAAAGTTTAAATTGATACAATGATGACTACTGTGGTGTATCTATGGTTACAATGGTAACCTATTAACAACATAGGTGATTACAAATTTTGAGTTAAAAATTAAAAGTATGACTTCTTGTGGGTACAAGCTTTATTTGTCAAAAGCAATTAAGTATTTACCTTAGAATCAAAATCATCACACGATGAACTGCAATTCATTGGCAGCTATTAACGTTACCCACAGGTTGGTTTAATTGTTCGTTGTTTTTGTTTCATCGCTCTTTCTGGTGATTTCATGCATTACAAATTCAAAGCGAAATTTACTGGTGCGGGGCTTCAACCTGAGAACTCCGGATAACCGTTCAAGTGCCCTTACCAAATAATGGTAATAATTCTTTTGTACTAATTGGGGAATCCCCATGATATTAATTTGACAATTTGTTTGCCGATTGAGGGTTTGAATGCCGACTGGAAAAAAATGATGGGGTTATTACCCCCGACTCCCTCCATCCCCCTCTCCTCGCAGACACGGCTCGGGTTTATGCAGACGATGTATGACGGTGGTTAGCACTGGGTCTAAGGTTTGTTCATCGTTTTGACGGGAACCCCACAAAAACTTCTTCCATATAAGGGTTAGCCCTTGGACGTTGTGTAAAAACCGGAGCTTGAATCACTCTCAGAAACGAGATATTGGGTCGTATGCATAAAAACTAGCATTTGCTTTTACTATCTATTTTTTAAGCATTTAATTGCATTTGTATGAATAAAAATGAAGCAAATGCTTTCACTGGAATGCATTTGCTAAAAGCTAAACGCGTTTACATTTTACTTTTTAGCTTTTGCTAGATGAGAAGTGTTTACTTTATTTCGTTTAAATAAAAAGGAGTAAATGCTTCCGATTTCAAGTTTTTACTGGTCATTTATCAAGGCTGGGTTGTGGCTACTTTGAGAAAATAAAATTGCTGCATTTATCAATAATATTTACGCTAAAATTAACACAAAAATAAAAAAACCTTCATAATTATATTAATACCATAGGCCTTCACTTTATTTTGAGTAACATAATGTGCGAAAAAAATTGTTTATTATTATTAAGTCCATTACTAGAAGAAACAATAATTTCGCATTTTGTTCAAAATATGTGCAAAGTATTTTAAGCGTAAAGTTCATTACCGCATAGAATGATTAGGGAGAAATGTTATCAAACGAGACCCTGGGGACCGAACAAAATGAAATCATTGTTTAGTTTATCAGGTCACCAATCTTTGCCACTATGTTTTTTTATATTTCAATAATCAAAAACCTTTTTTACCCGCTCAAAAACGTGTCTGTGATTTTTGATGCAATTGTGACATCTACAGAACACTGTGGTCATTTACAATGTTCATCTATGATGAAAGTATACTTTCTGTATTCTGCAAGTGGTGAAAGTGTCTTCATTATTTTTGCTGGATTTGAGGATCAAATGTAATGTATGCATCACCTTGATTTGGACTATTTCCCTATGTGTACACCCTACGTATGTGTGGCAGCTCGTACACACAAAAGAGGTCCTTTTGTTGACAACCATTCGTCCATGAAAACAATCCAACAGTAAAAAGCGTTTGCTACCTGTTGTCTAGTGAATGCTGAACATTGAAGGACAACTTTTATTCATACAGAATCAAGCATTTGCTTTTCCTTAATGCTTTTAATCCCAAGTCAATGCCTTTAATCCCTAGTAAATTCTTTTAAATTTTGCTTAAACTTCCTAGCATCTGCTAGTTTTTATTCATAGTTACGACCCACTGTATAAGACGGTACATCTCCTATGACTCAAGGAATGTCTCATGAATAATAATTTGAAGTAGCAAAGGCGTACACGACTGAACGACTGTCATGGATAAATAATGTTCCACACATCTCAATCTAAATTAGAACTAACATTTTCTTTTCAGTCAACTGAAGAAATCATCCCGCCAAGAGAATGTGGGCAGACAAGAGTACACGAGTCAGAGATGACAAGACAATGAAGACTGGTGTAAAGGAACTACGCGTGACAGGTACAAATGAAGAAAGACTGATAAGGTGTTAAACAGTCAGTTTATAATCAACTTTTTAAGAGGTTTAATTCCTAACCTAATGCCAATCTTCCTCTGACAAGACTAGTGTTTTACTGGTCCCAGGGGGCAGCCTCTAAACCAGTCAAAGCATGCTATTGTAGGGCACGCCTATGGTTACAGACCAGTAAATAAACTTCCATAGACCCCAATGGTAAATGCTCCCACTTCAGAAATTCGGGAAAAATACTCATAACGCTCCAAGGTGTTCGAGACACACATCAAATTAAAGCTTATTTCATCATCTTTTCTTTTCTTTTCAATTTTTGGGGGTCAACTGATGACTTTTAGGAGAAATTTCCATCCGAAGATGATCACCCCTGAAAATAGTCCTGAAGCCCATCGCCATTTTGAAAAACGATGCCTACACTCCATTGCAAAATAGAGCGCTTTAAGGCCCCAATTTCATCCGAATTGAACGGAACTACAAGTTTACAGTCCCGTGCACGGCTTCCACCCATATTTTTTTACAAACCTTCAAGTTCATGGCCCACAGCATGCTCAAATACTGAAGATTTTGAGGGCTTGCAAATCATGATTTGGCCGGCGTAGGCAATTTTGGACCGATTTACTGGTCTGCAACCTATAAAGAAGCGAGGTTTTGAAAAATTCCCCCAAACCAGTTGTACGGCACGAGGAAGGATGGATGACTCATATCTCATCAAAAAATTGCGAGAAAAAAAATCTCTGACGGCGATTTCTGGCCTGAAAACAAGCCCTCTGTTTGCGGCTACCTTGCAGTAGGGCGCCCCCAACGGCAGTTAATTGAGTTTTTGCTCCTTCCAACCCCAAATGCCCCTCCCCCCTTGTCCGCTCGACATTGCTGTGATCGGACGACGGTCCATTAGCCCAATTCAGATTTTTGGCGCATTTGTTGCGGAACCGCCATTGGTGACCCCTTTTGAAACGCTGCCCCCTCGTCCCGCGCCCCTGAAAAAAAAACACTGTCGTGGAATGTAAAGCGCAGGCGCACACATTTGACAACAAACGATGGAAGGTGCCATTTTGAAATTATAAATTTGCGAGGTTTTGAAAAATTCCCCCAAACCACTTGTACGGCACGAGGAAGGATGGATGACTCATGTTTAATCAAAAAAAATCAGAAAAGAAATCTCTGTCTGCGATTTCTGGCCTGAAAACAAGCCATCTGTTTGCGGGTACCTTGCTGTAGAGCGCCCCCCAACGGCAGTTAATTGAGATTTTGCTCCTTCCAACCCCAAATTACCCCCCCCCCCCCCCCCCCCCACCTTGTCCGCTCGACATTGCTGTGATCAGACGACGGTCCATCGGCCCTATTCAGATTTTGGGCGCATTTGTTGCGGAACCGCCATTGCTGACCCCTTTTGAAACGCTGCCCCTGCCCCCCAGGTCCCGCCCCCCTGAAAAAAAACACTGTCGTGGAATGTAAAGCGCAGGCGCACACATTTGACAACAAACGATGGAAGGCGCTATTTTGAGATTTTCAATAACGAAAACAAAGTATCAGCTATAAAACAAAACTACCCTATTAAAGGAGCCGTACAGAGTGAATATTACAGCCAGATTGAATTACTGACTGACTGCCACTTTTGACTTGACATATAATTGTTGGCCAGTGAACAGAACCGGGCGTGCCCATTTATTTATTTCTTTTTTTTTTATGCTTCAACCTAGTATAGTCATTGGCCACAATGCGCATGCGTAAGTTGGTAATAAATGCTTGTTCGTTAAATAAATGCTTGGATCCGTTTTCGATCAGTATGACTTAGATAAAGAAATCTAACTTTCAGGTAGAAAATAAAGTAAAACATATAATTCCAGTGTGACTCAAAGGCGCAATCTGTAGCATTGTGACTAGACGAACTAAAACATCAGACTTAAGACGTACATATTTAAAATTTAATTATTTTCTGAGACGCTGTGTGATGTGCTAGATAAGAACCTTTTTTTTAATTATTATTAATATCAGGCCAAAGTGATGCTACGCTTTCTGCCGTGGATTCTAAACTATATGAACTTCTTTCAAACCACATGATATAATTTGTTCAATAACGAGATATGTTTGACACATGCGTATTAACGTGAATGACTTAACTTGCCAGCCAATAACAAAATTGCGAGCCAGTGTAGCGTGAATTTAGAAAATTTAGGACTCTCGTTGGTAGTATTGCGCATGCACAAGTATAGATAATTAGAAGAGTGACCGGTCACTCTGAGAGGGTTTGTCCAGAGTCCGATTGGAGTCCGATTTTTATGATACCGGCCTTTCATCTATGATAACCCCTTATGGAATAAATCCGGTCCATTGTAAGCACAAGAAACATGAAAAGACTTCCAGTGCTTGGCCAATGTGAATACATTGTTAGGAGTTGTGTATGCTCTACTGTCATATTTACCAGACTTGCCTTGTATTTGATTTAGAGCTAAAATTAAACGAGGAACACTTGCGTCACCTGGCTCGTAAACTTGGTCAGGAATGGAAATCCTTGGCTACATTCCTCGGTTTCAGCAAAGTGCAAATCTCCAGGTTCAGGGAAGACAATCCACATGAGACAGAAGAACAAATCTTTAGCATGCTCGTCGAGTGGAAACAACAAAATACCTCAAGCTCCCATGACCAGGTTGAAACATTGAGTAACAAACTGAGAGAAGCTCGCAGAGTGGATCTTGCTGATGAGTGGTTAGGTAGGTGTGTCTTAAAACTGTATCACCAGAGGAGCATTGTCTATGGCCATGATTGTTTTCCTTTTCAAAATGTACTTGAATCCATTGGGAAACAATAACAACTTTTGGTTTGATCAATTTGAAACAACAGTTCAAGTTGCTTTAATCATGTTTCAAATTCTTTTTTCCCTACGAAGTTTTAAGTACGTGCTTTTTTTTTTCAACAGAAAACACAATCTGCATTGTTTTCTTATTTGCACGTTTTCAACCTCTGAAAATAACTTGTTATTAACAGTTAACTTGTGATATTTTTTTTTTATGTCAGGACAGAAAAAGGATCACGAATATCAGCCTTTCAGTGGAACCATTTCTATTAATTTGAAAATAAGATGCATCTCTTGGGGTTTGATAAATTTCAGTATACATTTCATTAAAACGGACACCTTATTTCAGGGTTAACGAGGTCATCAGTTACAATGTGCAAATAAATATTCATTTAGTTCGGAGAGGATACATGCTCGTCATGTGAAAAGATCTTATGATGGATGGTAAAGTGCATTAAGTCCGGTTTGACGACGTCACAGCATTTGAAAGCCCAAGGTGAACATCGTAAGGCATATTGATATTATTTATGCTACGAACATATTCATTCGACACGAATCGAATGATTGATTTGATATTAAAATAAGCTGATCATTTTCAAATTCTCCCTACTTTATTTTTCTGTCTCCTAACGTCATGATTCTGAAAACTTGCAAATAAATTTGCGGTTGTCCAAAGAATATCTAGGGGCAATTGGGTACAGTTTTGATGAATGGTTTTTAAATTAAAAAACCGTCTTTGATGTGCCGCTAGAGACCGCCCTTTCGGATGATGACGTAATCATGTTGTTTTTATGGTTTACATTCTCACTAAACACTTCCATATCTGTCGTAAAATGCTTCCATTTTCTAGTTATATTCAATTTATTTTCATTGCACTTCCGGTAACACTGGAAGTAAAGTCAAGCGGCTTTGTGCCCAGGAGTGTAAAATATTGCAATGTATAACTGATCACAAACAGTGAGAACGGAACTCCAATCTCTCGAAAAGTTATAGTTCAAAATAATTATTCAAATATGACCTTAAATCGCTTGTAATTATGATATCTGATAACGTCATGGTAAGTTTTGACATCTTCGGATCCAAGTTCAAGTTCATACCAGGTTTGATCTTCATCCCATGATTCGTTTGGAAAAAAATTGGATTGTTTGATTTGAGCCTCAAGTGGGTGTTCTTAATTCACCTAACTTTGACCTTCCGGTAGCCCCGGAAGTAACAGTCAAGCGACTTCACGTGCGCGACCAAAAAATGTTGATTAATGAATGATCTATGACACAAAATACAATCATCATTGATTATTTTGCTCAAGAGTTAAAAATGAAAGAAGTTAGTCTCTTGTTCAACTCAAATCGCTTGTAATTGATACCTTATGATGTCATCATGACGTCAGAGGAAAATACACACCTTTTGATCGGGATGATGTTGATTCAAAATTACATACCAAAAACTGTTAAAGAGAAAATCCGCGGAGAATTATTGAAGGGACGGAAAGAAAGAAATAACTAGAGATTTGCGTTTGTCGAGTTAAAAACGCAGGTTGATCGGAAAGACATTTTGTTCATTTGCATTGCCCAGTTTTAAGTTTTGAATATTGTTACGTCAGAACAGATAAAGGATCAAAATTCAGCCTTTCCAGTACACAAATTGGCCAAAAGTTGTCATTGCTGGAATGTCAAGATCATGTGTCCCTTATAATTCCGGTATTCCCTGAACTTTTTATTTTACACCCTAATTATCATATCCCACAAAATATTAATATGATAGGGTTGATACTTCATATGATCATGCAGCAACATTCAAAGATAAATATATTACATTATTATTACCTTCTAGTTTATTGTTCTAGAATTATGATGTCATGAATATTTAATTTTCCGCAACCATTCTCAACAATAGGCTGAACGTTCACCCATGGCGGCGTGCTTCTGGAACCCTCGAAGAGAAAAAATATTACTATTATATATTGGTTTTCCCGGCCAATTTCCTAAAATGTTCATTCCCTTATAAAAATCGGTCATTCATTTTCGTCTAAATTTGAGAATCGCTCTGAACACGCGTTTAAGTTTCGCTACCAGAGCATTCGATTCCATTAAGTTCAATCAATTAAGTGACTGAGCAGCACTTTTCGTTTATGTCCATTCAGATTTGTGTACAGACTTCTTTTTCGCTTTTAAAGGGCGATTTCAAACATTCACCATTCTATTTCACTTTTAGTTTAATGCATTCGGCACCAGATACAATTAGAGGTTTCTTTTTCATTAACCGTCAATCAAAATAGATATACCTGAAATCAATTTAGAAAAGGTATGCTTGCATAAATGAAAGCACAGGTAATGTACCGGTAACCGAATGCACGGACAATAAAAAGATTGAACTTTCGTTGAATTGAAAAGGGATTAAAGGCGTGCATTCAAATTCAGAGGAAAACGAATGACCGATTTTCAGACGTGAAAGAACATTTCAGAAAATAAGCCGGGAAAACCTATATTAACGTCAAACAATTCTAAAATTTGCAATTATTTTTGGTACACTAATTTTTAAAAGAAAAGTCACCATCTAACAAAAAGAATTTGTAAAGTGATAATAGCACCTCAATTTTTGGAAACTGAACAATTGCCTGACTTGAAAGAGAAATATCGTGCCAAAAGTCGACCGCTCACTTCCGAAAATCTAACATGTACGTGTACTACTGGAACTCGGTGTTCTCCTGCAAAGTTTAAAACGTACGAAATAATTTTGTAGCGGTCATTGGGTGAAAACTAAAACTTAGAGATGAGACTAAAATGTTTTTAAGGATATACAATTTTTTTTAAATAAACTTGAATGACTCATTGGCACTTGCAAACAAAATCTAGAATAACTTCCGATAAGGACTGCCTTCAAACCAATCTGGCTAAATCTTGAACCTATCGGCTATAGGTAGGTAACTATTCGCGTCGTCATACAGGGTGTCCCCCCAAAAAATGTCCCTCTGGAGGATGTACAGAATTATCGTAATTTATGAAGAAAATTTCAAATTCAAATATAGAATTGATGAGCCCAAACATTTGTCTTTATTGTGTAAAGTTTGTGTTGAATTCGGTGCAGAGGTTTTTGTAAAAAAAAGGCCTTAATGTAACACCAGTCCATGTTTGGGCTTATCAATTATATAATTATATCATTGAATTTGAAATTTTCTTAATGAACTTTGAAAATTCGTTACATCCTCCAGAGGGACCTTTTTTGTGGGGGGGGGGGGACACCCAGTACATTTTCGTTCTAACGTACACGGCATCATGCTGTTATGGTGGCGGAAGTATCGCAGAGCCTTTTGATTTATCCACTGGAGTTCTGCAAGGAGATGTGCTTGCTCCTTTTGTGCTCATCATAGTTGTTGACTACCTTCTAAAGAAAGCCACCGCTGGTTTGGATTTTGGAGTCGTAACTCACCCACGTCGATCTAGGAGATATCTGGCAAAGCAGCTTAATGACCTAGACTTTGCTGACGACATCGCCCTTTTTGAGTCTACGTTACCACGGGCCCAGGCACAGTTATCCAAGACAGCTTCTGTAGCAGAAGGCGTTGGCCTCATAATCAATGTACCCAAGACGGAGTACATTACGTCGCATTGCGAGCCTTCCCCCTCACTTCATGTCCACGGCAGTCCATTTAAACATGTGACTGATTTCAAATATCTCGGATCCATGGTAGCATCCAGCGCAACCGACCTCGAAAGACGCAAGGCACTTGCTTGGACAACTTTTTGGAAGTTGGAACAGCTGTGGAGAAGCCCCTCCTTACCAATTATCACCAAAATGAAGTTGTTTAACACAACATGCATCACAGTTCTCCTCTATCGATGTGAGACATGGGTAATCTCCAAAGACATGGAAAGTAAAATAAACGCTATTGTCACCTCTTGCTACCGCATTATGCTGAGCATCAAGCGCACCGACAATGTCCCCAATGCCACCATCTATACTATGACAAACTCAAACCCTCTTGTGGAGCGTGTAAGAACTCGGCAGCTCAAGTTCCTTTGGTACATACTCTGCATGTCAGACGATGAGCCTGCAAAAGTGTATGCCCTTTATACACCACCCCAGGGGAGGAGACCAGGAAGACAACGCACATCATACCAAACTGATATTCAACGCGTGCTTGGAGATAGTGATGGCATGCTGCGACCAGACCAAATTGCAACACTTGCCCATGATCACAGTAAATGGAAGTAGCTTGTAGTCGACTGATCCGCAGCCGAGGGATGATGAGGATGATGACACGGTATCGACGAAAAACTCTCCTGGTCAGCTCACATCTCACACATCTCAAACGTTATTTCCCGGAAAACTGGCGATATTTCTAAAATGCGTCACCTTCTTCCATGCGACTTTCTTTTCTCACTTTACGATACCCTTATTCGTCCTTGCTTAAACTACTGCAGTATCGTTTGGGATCACACTTCTTCCTCTCCACTCCACTCACTCATTGTCATTCAAGAAAGGGTCATTCGGATCTGTACTTACTCCCTACCACGTGATCATACTGCACCTCTTTTTGTCAAACAACACTCTGTCACCGTGTCTGATATTGATCAAGTTTACTAATGATCTCCTTCCTGATACATTTTCTTCTTTTTTTACTCCAGTTAACGTCTTTCAATACTATCACACTAGATCACACAGCAACCTATACAAACCTTTCACGCGCCCATCTCAGTACAAGAACACACTTCACTTCTTCGGTCCCAGTCTTCGGAATAGCATTGACCAATCAATTAGATCCAAAACCTCCGTGGGCTCTTTTATGATCTCTTTCGATTTTTGAAAAAAGGGACCCGATGTGAAAACAAACGTTAACGAACAAAGAGACCTATAAAGGTGTTGTGTTTATGGGTCCTTTCAAACCAGTAAATAATGGAACGAACTCACCGAGTCTTCACACGAACTTGTGGCATGGGCGCCGCCATTTTAATACACACTGTAACTCATGGAACGTGTAGTTGGTGTCCCTCACAGAACGTATCATAAATGCATGGACATACGACATCTCCCCCTTTAAGCTGTCAACAAACAAAACTGGTTAAACACATTAACAATGAACAATAATTAACAGTAAAAAAATGGCAATGCTCTCTGGCATTCAAACATATGTTGTGAATGCTGGTGGAAAAGTGTACTTCAGTTAAGGTTGTTTTGGTCTGAAAATATGTGAGATTATTCAAGTGCCAAAATCCTGAAATTGTCCAGATTTGTGAGCAATCTAGAGTTCAGTTCTGTGGAGTGTAGAGTTCAATGTTCCAGTTTAGTGCCAGGTTTAGTACACCACATAATCCTGGTGCCAGCGTGGAGGTTTTCCTGTGCGTCGTGGTCTGACTGTTGTTGTTGGCTTGGGATTCTGTGGGTGAATTGGGTCAGGTGGGGTCTGGACTTCAAGAACTGGTTCTGGTTCTGGGATAAGCAGCAAGTGGCGACAGTTACGACGATACTCGACGCCCTGAACGTTGACAATGTGGGAGCGTGGGGGACCTGCTTTTCGAACCACCTCACCCACCGGACTCAGACGTGTTTTGTTGCGGATCCGCACCGTGTCACGTGGTTTCAGCTCACACAGCTGACGGACGCCATGCTTCTCGTTGAAGTAAGACTCGCTCTTGGCCTTACGTTACTTTTCGGCTGCCTTCGGCTGGTGCGTGTTGATTACCCTGGGACGGAGATTGCGAGGGAGTGTTGGCAATGTGGTGCGTAGTTCGCGACCCATCAGCAGGCGTGCAGGACTAAGGTTGAGGCCTGAGATTGGTGTGGATCGGTAGGTCAGCAATGCTAGTTTGGGCTAGAAGTAAGATGTTGGATGTCATACTCACTTGCAAATTGGTTGAACTCGGTCAGGAACTGTGGCCCATTATCGGTGACAATAACCTCAGGTATGCCAAAACAGGCGAAAGTGGCTTTCAACAAGTAAATGACGGCCAACGACGTTGTTGTCTGGAAATGATGGACCTCAATCCATTGCGAAAAGTAGTCGACTAGGACAATGTAGTGTCTCCCACTGACCTCTGCCAGATCACAGGCAAGACGTTGCCAGGGTCGTTCAGGAAGCGGAGTCAAGATTAGGGGTTCCGCTCGCCGTGCTGACTGCTTGGTCTGACAGAAGGAGCATTTCTCTATGTACTGGGCAATGTCGCTCCCAATACCTGGCCACCAAACGGCTTGAGCAGCTCGGAATCTGGACTTTGATATTCCCTGGTGACATTCGTGGATCCTCAACAGCATATCTTGGCGCATCTTTGCCGGGATGACGATGCGGTTGCCATGGGTGAGGATCCCCTGGACTAAGCTGAGGTTGTCTTGGTTCTCCCAGCAGAGCTTCACTGTTGTTGATTCAATGTCGCGAGAGTATTTTGGCCAGCCACTGCGAATGTGTGATGCGACTTGCACCAGCACTTCATCGAGGGCAGTTTCACGCTTGATCTCGTCCAAATTCCCCTTGGGAGACTGGCCAGTGGCTTGTGACCATATGGACATGTGCTTCAACTTTGTCTGGAAAATTGTCACTTTCAGTGACCGATGACTTTAAGGGTGCGCGAGACAGGGTATCGGCCACAGTGAGGAGTTTGCCAGGTACGTACTCTGCGGTGCAGTGGTACTTCATGAGACGCATAAGAAGTCGTTGACACCTCAGCGGAGCGTCCCACAGATCCTTAATGTTGATGAGTGGAACTAGCGGTTTATGGTCAGTCTGTATGGTGACGTGAAGGCCTCGAAGGTACACGTAAAACCTTTCGCACGACCACACTGAGGCCAACAGCTCTTTCTCTATCTGCGCGTAGCGTCGTTCAGATGGAGTGAGGCTTCTTAAGCAGTACGCCACTGGCTTCCACTGTTTGTCATCTTGTTGCTGCAGAATACATCCACCCAGTCCGTATTCGCTTGCATCAGCGCTAACCATGGTCGGCTTATTTGGATCATAGAAAGCGAGTGCAGGAGCTGAAGTGTCTTAATGCTGCAAAAATCTGACTGCTGTGGTGATCCCACACCCAGCTGACATCACTCTTCAGTAGGTCATTTATTGGTGCAGCGGCTGAAGAGACATGGGGAATGAACCGGGCAAGCCAATTGATCATTCCCATTAGTACACCATGTCTCTTATGTACACCACGACCCCGGGTATGTCAGTTAGAAGGTCGCACATGATGCGTTGATATATTTCTGGTGCCGATGTGATGCCAAATGGAAGGCGTTTAAAGCTGTAACGCCCGAATGGTGTAATGAAGGTAGTGAACTTCTGGCTTTCCTCTGTCAGTGGTACTTTCCAGAAGCCATGCTTGGCATCCAGCAGGGAGAATATCTGGGCGCCAGCGACTTTGCCGAGGACTAATTCGACGGTTGGTATGGTAACCTCTCCCTGACAACTGCTTTGTTCAGTCGTCTGAGGTCTACGCATAGGCGAATGTCACCATTCTTTTTCGGCGCTATCACAATAGGCGAGCAGCAATCTGTGGGGTCAGTGATACGCTGAATGATGTTCTGTTGCTCCATCCTCTCCAGCTCCTCTGTCAGTTTGGGCATGAGAGGAATGGGGATACGACGAGGAGTCATGGCACAGTAAGGGGTGGTGGCTTCGAACTACCTTGATGCTAACTGCTTGTCCATGCAGACATCCACCCTCTTTAAAAACACTCTCATAGCTGAGAAGAGTGTAGACTCTGTGGACCAATCCAAGTAAATCACAGGCATGCTTGCCTATGACTGGTTCTCCCTGAGGCCTTGACTTTGCAAATGAGTCTGGTCTGGCAGATTGGTGTGGCTTTTTCCCCAAAGAATCATGTAAGGCGAGTTGAGGACGGCTGTAGGGTCTTATCGGGGACATTCAGCGCGTTGAAGATGTCAAGCGGGAGGATATTGACCTCAGAGCCCGTGTGAAGTGGGAATGACACAGTCTGTCCATGTACATGGAGGTCCTGTCTCCAAACGTCATCGATGGGCAGTTGCTGTCGGCGGATGGCACCGACAAAGAACTCATTCTCTGCAAAAGTACAGGTTTCATCCTCCTGTTCTGGATCTGTCTGGAGAACTGCTCGCATCTGGAGAAAGGTCATTGGCCTTGAAATAAAGGTCCAATCGTTCGAGGTAGTTGATAATTTCCTCTACTTGGTCGTAGGGATCGAGTCGTCCATTCAAAGCTGAGCTACAGGGCACCCCCTGTGACTGCGACATGATCGATGTACGTATACGTACGTACGTACGTGGCGAATTGGACGAAATTAATGGTTTGTTTTGCAAAATGTCAAACTACCTGACGTGATACAGTCTCAAAATGTCACTGATTATGTACGCAAACATTTACTGATCCCACCGCTACCACCATATTGTGTTTATGGGTCCTTTCAAACCAGTAAATAATGGAACGAACTCACCGAGTCTTCACACGAACTTGTGGCATGGGCGCCGCCATTTTAATACACACTGTAACTCATTTAAAGTGTAGTTGGTATTGTGGCGAAAATTACTATAGCGGCAGAGTCCAAAGAGGGCGCGCTAGCGGCTGCAGGCCCCTATATAAGAGGCCGCGGGACAGTTGCTAGAAGGAGACGTACATGTAGACGCAGACGGAGACACAGCCCTCATCAGAGCTCACGCTGTTACGCGCGCTGACGGCGTGCTGGGTGGTGCGGCGGAGTCAGGCTGGCATAAGGAGGCACGGAGTCCGCGGAGGCTACTGGAGGCGGAGCGATGTACAGCTATCTGCCGATTGTAGGATGGGGCTGGGAGTGTGCGCTCACCTACCTGCCGCCTCAAGGAAGGATCGAGACTGGAAACGCCGGGTGACGCGGTCGAGGGCGGGATAGTGGAGGTGGAATACGCACAGGAACGCTATCTAGAGGTACGGTTCACGGGATACAGAGGCTATCCCCAGCTACCCAGCACTGCCTTACTGTAGCGGATAATGCGAGGCTACCCATAGAGATAATTGAGGGGCTCAGAGACCAATCACTTATTAGAGGCTAATTTAACGAGAGGTCCATCATATGACATGATTTGGTGTAAATAAATCAATCAGTAATTGAGGTCATTGACTGTTGTGTACTTAATTGTTTGTACGTGTCCATCTTGGAGGTTGAGGGGCGTGGGTGAGTCCTGCTACGCGTATAGGGCGGTATATTTCCATCCAAACGGGCCTGCATTCCCGGCTGCTGGGGTATTGATCCTAAGCTAGGCTGTCTGGGTAAAGGGACTACGGATCGGGTCACAAATATTCCCGCCACAAATGGTGTCAGAAGTGGGATTGTACGCCTAGCTACCGTATTTGCCCACGTTCTCATCCTTGGGGAGGCGAGGGCAATCATTATTGAATAAATAGGACCCTTAAATTAACTAAGACGAAGACACAAACTAATAATGACAGACCAGACTGCTAAGGAACTTCAGAAGGAGGTGGACAGTCTCCGAGTGGACCTCCAGGGAAGGGAGGATGAGCTCCAGCGTTCAATGGAGGAGAGTTCACGCCAGGAGGCTACAATAGAGAAACTAATGAGTAGGATATCTCGACTAGAGGATGCTTGGAAGAGCATAGGTCAGGGGACTTCGCTGGATTCAGGTGTACACACTAGACTTGCCTCCATTTCCCAGGTGCAGGACATAGGGCAGGAGGCTACTGGAGGTAACTGGACGCCTCCGAGGAGTATCATGAAGAACAATAAGTCTTTGATGCCACAGGCACAATCTGTTAGCATTAGAGGAGACACAACGCCACCTGTGGAGGCAATCATGGAGTTACCGAAGCCAGTGGAGGTCATAAGTGAACTAGAGAAAAGTGAGGAGCCAGCTCGTGAAATAGGAGGCGCAGGAGCCTCTAATAAGGAGACACCATAACCTCTCAAACGAGATCAAAAAATAATCGGGGAGAAGCAGTTACAGGAGAGGCTGACTAAGAGCTCAGGTCGCCCAAGGATTGTCCCAGACCGCTTCGGAGGAAAACAACCGTGGATGGACTACAAGGAACATTTCGAGTCATGTAAAATAGCCAATAGACGGCGTGCTGGATGGTGCGGTGGAGTCAGGCTGGCATAAGGAGGCACGGAGTCCGCGGAGGCTACTGGAGGCGGAGCGATGTACAGCTATCTGCCGATTGTAGGATGGGGCTGGGAGTGTGCGCTCACCTACCTGCCGCCTCAAGGAAGGATCGAGCCTGGAAACGCCGGGTGGTGCGGTCGAGGGCGGGATAGTGGAGGTGGAATACGCACAGGAACGCTATCTAGAGGCGTACGGTTCACGGGATTCAGAGGCTATCCCCAGCCAGGCATCGCCGTGCTACCCAGCACTTGTAGCGGATAATGCGAGGCTACCCATAGAGATAATTGAGAGGCTCAGAGACCAATCACTTATTAGAGGCTAATTTAACGAGAGGTCCATCATATGACATGATTTGGTGTAAATAAATCAATCAGTAATTGAGGTCATTGGCTGTTGTGTACTTTATTGTTTGTCCTTGTCCATCTTGGAGGTTGAGGGGCGTGGGTGAGTGCTGCTACGCGTATAGGGCGGTATATTTCCATCCAAACGGGCCTGCATTCCTGGCTGCTGGGGTATTGATCATAAATGCATGAACATACGACAATAGGAACGAAAATGCTAGATGTGAAAGGTTGTAACTAAAATGTGTTTGTTACCCATGTCAAAGTGATTGCTCCTATTGATTTTTTTTTTTTTTTTGGAGTCCAAGATTAAATTCCAACATAAATGTTTCTTGGGGTAATTGCGATTAGAAATCATTCTGTCAAACATTATAGCAAGCAAAAGGGCACCCTATTATAAAATGCCGATAGGCAGGCCTCGCGAGGGTTTCGGAAGCTCGCTGCGTGACATTTTACTTTTAGGCTTTATGCGAGATGGCATGGTATGATACCAGTTCTTTTACAAATTGCATTTGGCCTGAAGGCGTGCCTGCTCAAATGTCAAGGTCGTGTAGACTAGATTGCTGTAGTCCCAACCTTACAGTTTAGAAAATGAATTTTGGGAACACAAAATATGGGTCAAATATAACACAGTCGTTACCACAATTTTACAAAGAACTAATTCTGTGTTGGCAGGAGCTACATCCACAACATAATGTGCAGAAACAATTACGTCCCACTGATATAAAAACACAACTGCTATGGGGTAACCAACTTATAACTTTCAATGGTAAAATACTATTTTTCCGTAATTGGATAAAATCTAACATTATTTATGTAAATAAATTATTTATGTTAAAACAAAACTGATCACAAAACAGGATTGGTTAGTTGAAATATTCATGTTAAAAAGGGCCTTACAAAAGACTGGTTATCAATTATAGTAGACAGTAAAGAAAAGATCGGTGTTGATATTAAACTTCATGTTAATCCTAGTCTAGGTAATCCAGAAAACATTACAACTAAAAAAATATTTATAACACGAAAAACGAAAGAAGTAAAACACCTTACCTTAATAATTGCGACAGCAAATTTTTCCATACATAAAGCAAGAATCAAAATGGGTATAGAAAATAAGAGGATAACTATTTTTAATGTGTTCAATTCAGAGCTTTTATTCAGAGCAAAGTTTCAAAAGAGAAACAAGGACTTCTGGCAACATTTTATGACTTAACTGTATATATTTATTTTATTAATTTGCTTACTGCTGTTCACACTTATATAATTAAGTATATTCGAAATGATAACACCATATACTATAACCTATGGTTCCTACATACATTTATATACATGAAGTACATCAAAACTAATGTTGTGTATATCATTTATGATTGATGTACTTTCTAAACATTGTCATAACTAGATTTGCAATATTGTTATTAATGGAAATAAATTTTGAAGGGGAAAAAAAGGTCGTGTAGCCCTTACTAGTTTAGAATTTTAATGTTAAGAATGCATAAAGTGACTTAATTGTGGATAACTCAGTAAACCATTT